CAGCTGATGATTTTATGCCTCCTCTTATTCCTACCAAGACAATTCCTGATCCAGAAGATAAGAAGCCCGAGGATTGGGATGAGAGAGCCAAAATTCCAGACCCTAATGCTGTAAAGCCAGAGGACTGGGATGAGGAGGCACCCCTTGAAATTGTAGATGAAGAAGCAGAGAAACCTGAAGGATGGTTGGACGATGAGCCTGAGGAGATAGATGATCCTGATGCCACAAAACCAGAAGATTGGGATGATGAGGAGGATGGTGAATTTGAAGCCCCAAAGATCGAAAACCCAAAGTGTGTGACAGCCCCTGGTTGTGGTGAATGGAAGAGGCCAATGAAGAGAAATCCAGCTTACAAGGGAAAATGGCATGCCCCACTCATCGACAACCCTAATTACAAGGGTATCTGGAAGCCTCAGGAGATTCCAAACCCCAGTTACTTTGAAGCCGACCAACCAGACTTTGAGCCTGTAGCTGCTGTTGGCATTGAGATTTGGACAATGCAAGATGGTATATTGTTCGACAACATTTTGATCACAAAAGATGAGAAAGTTGCAGAAACATACCGGGAAACCACCTGGAAACCAAAATTTGAAGTTGAGAAAGAGAAACAAAAGGATGAGGAAGATGTTCAGGGTTCAGAAGGGTTCCTCTCCAGCTTCCAGGTAAAGCTTTCTGCAATATCAGTTCTATTTGGTTTTATGGCATTTATATGGTGGTTACTTGGCACGGTTATTGAATGTATTTTCAATTCCTGCAGAAGAAAGTATTCGACGTCCTATACACCGTAGCTGATATTCCCTTCTTAAGTGCCCACAAGTCTAAGATAATTGTAAGTCATCAGTATTTTGTTCATTATCTGTTTTGAGGGTGATTTTTGTGGAATGCACCCTAAAATCCAAGCTTGTCTTGCAGGATCTCATTGAAAAGGCAGAGCAACAACCGAATCTCACCGTTGGCATCATTGTCTCCATTGCGGTGATCATCTTCACAGTATTTATCAAGCTACTCTTTGGTGGGAAGAAACCTGTAAGTGTTGAAGGCCCTTTAGAAGAACTAAAGAAATACTTGTTATTGCTGTTGCTAAATGTTGCTATGTCTTTGTGTTGTGCAGGCAAGAGTTGAGAAGAAAACCACTGGAACGGCCGATGCTTCAAGCAGCGAGGAAAAGGAAGAAGAGAAGGAGAAGGAAGGTACTTCGGCTGAGAACGAGAACGAAACAGCTGCTGCTCCCCGCCGAAGGACAGTAAGGCGTGAAAACTGAAGTGAGAAGAGGGAAAGCTACTGATTACAATTTTCACTTCCATTATCATCAAATTTTGAGCCTAGTTGTTTTTGTGTAGGTCATTCTTGAATGTCGGAATTTTTTTCTTTTGCCTTTTTTAGCCTTTGTGTTGAAAACAGTTAATGTATCAGGAGTGTAAATGACAGATCTATTAAGCTGTGATACTTCATTTCCAGATTTCAATGACAGCAGATGATATTGTTATTGTAGTTCCGTCCTGACTCTAATTGTTGTTGCTATACCAAATGTTACATAGCTAATCCCTCTTTCTTCGACTTTCGAAATTCCATTGAAATTTGTGTTCTCCATTTACTAAAAAACAAACCCATTTTCAGAGATTACAAAAACATTGGTTTCAAAATTTGCAAAATTAAAGATGCTCCTCAACGCGAAAAAGTCGATGTTAGTCAAAATTTGATGTTGATGGAAAATAAAATTCGGTGTTTGATTGCGAACTAACAATTCTGCTGATTGCAAAATTAATAGGAAAACTTATTTACACCATTTTTGTCTAAAATCCCACATATAATTTTTTTTTTTTTTTTTTGGTCAAATGTACTTTCCATTAAACAACAGACAATACATCAAGGTGAAACATGGCTACCAACAACCAGACACATCAAACAAAGAGCAAAGCACCACAAGGCTACCAACAGCCCAAAATAAAGCCAACTAAACACAAACAGACACCAGGAACAAGTAATCAAGTTAGAGATCAGAGTATCGACACCTCCCAGGGGAGCGGGTCCATCTCTTAACTTAAGATTACTGCCTTGGCTCAGGCTCAAACAGAAGAAAATAAAAACCCAACCTAAAGTGCCACATATAATTCTTTAGGTTACGCCATTTTGGTTCGCAGATTTTAAGAACTAGTATGAAATTGCATTTTTTTATTATAAATGAACCCTTATTTACCGTTTGGTTCACGAAACGAATTTGAGGAAAAATCATTTCCTATGTCATTTCCCAATGGATGGGAAATGGAAGATTCCTTTCCCACGTTTGGTAATGTCAGGAGAGTAACCGGGAGATATTACTTTATTTTCTTTCTCATGTTTGTTTTGAGTAGGAATGGAAAACAAAGTTTGTATAATTTTCCAATTATACCCATATTAAATCAAATAAAAAAAAGAATGCATATAATGATATATTGTATGATGAGGTAAAACAAAACCCAAGTTAGGAGGAGGGCTTCACTTTCTCCTTACTTCCCATGTGTTAGGCAACCATTTCTCATGCCTAGACTTTCCAAACATAGGAAAGCAATTGATTTCCTATCCCCAAGCCTTATTTCCCATGAACCAAATGGGGCCTCAGAGTCCGTTTGGTTCACGAATTGAACTTCTTGAGAGTAAACTTTCCATGTATAATCCCACGAGATGGGAATGGAGGATGTCCATTCCCATGTTTGGGAACGCTATAAAATGAGGACTAGGAAAATGTTATTTTCTCTCATTTCCATGTTTGGTTTGTGCAGTATTAGAAATGAAAAGTTGATCGGTTTTCCAACAACACCCTTAATTTTTTATTATTAAAAGTTATTAATATGAAGAGTTTCTTAAGGGTCAAAAGTGGTATTTTAAAATAATAACATGGGTAAGTTAGTCTTAAAAAATCGCATTAAATGCTTTTCCAAGTGGGGGGAAAAAGTTTCCCAAGGTGAGCCAAGGGTTTGAACTTCCCCTTACAAGGGAAGTCCATACCTATGAGTCTATAATTGCATTCCCAAGAGTGCACTTACTAAACATGGGAATGCAATTTGAAACTCATTCCCAAGCTCCTAAACCTTGAACTAAATGTGCTTTTAGACCATTTGAAAGCATGCTTTTCTGATGCCCCGGGAATGCTTTTATTGCACATTTTTATAACCAAGTAACCCCATTGTAAATTAGGGACATCTATTTTGTCCTTCAAAAATTCTTTGTATTTATTTAATAAACAGAAAAAAAATAAATTGATTCCTTGTTGCACAAACGAACATTTGAATTGGAATGTGGGTTACATTCTCAAATAACTCATTCAGGCTAGGTTACGTTAAAAAGGAAAAAGAAGAAAAAAGAAAAGAAGAGAAGAAATAAAGCAGAAACAAGACCGATTCAGCAATATAATATGATAACCAGTTGAATTTCCTATTGGAGACTTGAGAGAGTTCAACTCATCAATAGTGAAACCTCCTGCCATAGAGTCATAGGGTTAGATGGCCTTGTGTAACATCCACCGGATGGATGCATGAGAGTCGATAGTGAGATTTTGTTTTCGGTTGGAGTCAATAGCGATGTTCTTTTAGGTCTAATGATTGTCTAATATAGTATCAGAAATTTAATATACGTTGTTAACCTATTTTCGAACAACTTTTAAGTCAACTTTTCTTTTAAGTGTAATGATTGTATAATATAATTTCTAAAAGGATTAACCGGTGATTTGACCCCTAAACTTGTACCTAACTTTCAATTTACCCATATTCTTTTTTTATTATAGAAAATTAAGGATATGAATTTCTTTTTTTTGTCAATTTTCCCCCTCCCTCTAAATCCACAACATTTCATCTAATTTGCCAGAGCAAAATGGTCATTTTGTACATTAAAAACAAAAAAAACAAAAAAAAATAAAAAATAGAAAATAGAAATACTCTCTCTCTCTCTCTCTCTCTCTCTCTCTCTCGTCATTTGGCAGTGACTTGAAGAATGGCGAGTGAGTGGTCGACGAGGCTGGGTTAGTGGGTAGGGACTGGAGTTGGGGCGGGCGCGGAAAGGGG